TGGCATGGTGGTTACCGTGTCGAGGCCACACGCCACACAACCATAAGCCGGGTTCGAGTCCCGCTGGGGGTGCTGATGAGACCGAATGAGGCGAGCTCGAAACCGCAGGCTCTGTGTGAAATTGACTGAAAACCTAAAGTCTTGTCAAATGATTTTGGGAATATTCAACGACCAGTTCTTCTCCACCTTCACAGGATAGGATGGGAACATCTCATATTGATGCTCCACTGATAGTTCCAAAAAGCTAACCTATAAAGGAAAAATAAGTTGTTGTTGTTGTTGTTGTTGTTGTTAGAAAATAGAAAGTGCAACGAAATGAGTCTCCCGAATGGGGAGGTACGAGGCCGGGGTGAGGCAGGACCCGTCTGTCTACCTGCGCGTTGGGCAGCCGCCGGAAGGGTGTTGACGGCGCGAGGCTGTTGGTGGAAAGCGTGCGTGAGAGAGCGACTGGGGCTCGAGTCGGTCGAGGAGCCGAGCTCGTGTCGGAGGCCGACGACGAAGCGGCGGCCGGGCTGGTGGTAGAGTTGGGCGGAGCCGCGGGTGCCCCGGCCGGAGTAGGCGGAGGGGACCGGCGAGAGCGCCGAATGGACGGTCGGAGCGGCGGCGCATTTGCGGGACTCGGCCGGGCCGAGGTGAAGGCCGGGACTCTGGCGCTCGGTGCGCCGGCCCGACGATTGTCCGTAGACGGTCTGGAAGCTGCTGACCGCGGCACACGGGCTGCGGAGTCCAGCGGACGGAGGCTGCCGATTGGCCAGTCCCGGTCCCGGTCCCGGTCCCAGACTCGGACCCAGACTCGAAGTCGGGAGCGGTCGTCCCATCTGCAATTGCTGCTCCAGCATGCGCAGCGAGCGCGTCTGTACGGGCCGGAAGCTGGCGCCCGACTGGCCAGTCACGGGGCCCGGGAACCAACTGGTTCGGCTGGCGCCCGACGCCGACGGACGTCGAAAGGTCGGCAACGACGGGCCGGTACCGACGAGCATCGAGACGCTGTCGCTCGACGCGACGCTTCGCGACGAGACGTCGGTCAGAGCCGCTGGGCCGAGGCCGGCCGGGGTCTGGCTGGCACGAGCAACATGAGAAACGGCTTGAGGAGCCAAATGGGCGACGCGGTTTACGTCGACGCCCTGCCTGAGAGGCGGTCGGGCGGCCGGGACGAGGTGGGACAGGGTGGGGTGGATGGGGCAAAGTGGGGTTGGGCAGGAGGGGGTGGGATGAGGTGGGAAATGGGAGGATAATAAAAGGAAGGGTGAGGTGGGGAAGAAAGATGGAGAACAGAATTGGTTGGATGGGATAAATTAGGGTGCGTGTTGAAGTGCTAGTGTGTGAGGGGCGGGTGGCAACAGATAAATGGGTGCAGTTACGAAGAATGTGGTCGGGCGAGGCAAGAAAAAGGTTGAAGTGGGTGTGGTATGATAAGTTGGGTTGAAGGGAAATATAATTTTATAAGTTGAGGTTGGACATGATGTGATTTTGATAACTTGGCAAATGATGTGTTTTAGAGAAACAAGTTAACGTCGAATGTGATGTGGTATGATTTGG